GTCGTCACAGTGTTGGTTATTAAGCGAGAGCATGCAAATGCTTCGTTTGCCTTAAATGATGCACAAGTAATGTCTAATTTTTAAAACACTTTACATGGCATGTTAACATGGCGCACTTCAGTCCTGACTAATCAGAGCTTGCCTCAGTCGAAAAGACAGAGCTGATGACTCCCTTACGCAGTGACAGTTGTCCGGGTGCCTTTGGTGCCCGCTCATGCCCAGCATCATCTCTGAAGCTCTTTCCCCCCGCCCCACCCCCGACCTGTGTTTCTCTTGTGCCTGGCACGAGATTATTTAAACATCTGTTGAAAGAATGAGAAAGTGTGCAGTGATAGTGACTTTCATACTTCTAAAGTGGCCGCCCTCGAAGCCACTAACCCTTACCGTACAGGACGCACTCTGATAGTTTCTGCTCAGTTCTGTATCTTTCTTTCTTTCTTTCTTTTTTCCTATTAAAGAAAATGAGAGTTACAACTGAATTGATTTCACTACCCAGACTAATGGATCATGACCACGATTCAAAACACCATGGGATATTATGGATGTTCTGGAATATTCTGGCTGACAGGAACTTTGTTCTTTGCAGTCGGGAGAGTCACTGGGGTTATCTGTGAGGCTCCTCCCAGCTCCAGCCTTGGGTGCTGATTGTGAAAGAGAGGAAATAGGAGGCTCTGGAAATAGGCAGAGGCACAGTGTGAGTTTGAAGGTTCATGTGGAAATCTGATGCCTGCTTTAACTGGGGGCAACTACTGTTTGAGAAAGGCTCGATTTCAGTCATACACGTTCCGGAGACTAGGCAGAGGTTTGCCAGGGTGACTTTCAAATAAACGCTAGCTTCTAAATCCACAGTCCTTGGGCCCCAGAGGTGTTCCGGGTGCAGGAGTTGGGGGGCATCTGAAGGGAACGGTGATGAGCATGCTGAATGCTCCGTGTCCCCCCAGCAGGGGCTTGGGCAGCCGCCGGAGCAAACCCACCAACCTTTCCCCTGCACCTGTATGACGATCGCGCTCCGGGACCAAGATCACAAGCACCTTCAGATCAGCTCAGCCCCTCACCAGACGGGAAAATGTGTCTGGTCTTCAGGGATTTCAGGATAACAGGAAGGGAAACTGCTTCATCTAGGCACCCCATTTTTGCTTTACAACACTCAGCAGGACCATTTATCCCTCTGGGGGAACCGGAGCTCTGCTCAGGGCCCAACCCAAAGGAGGCGCCCAGGAGATGTTTGTGAGCTTACAGAAAACTCGAGTTGGGCTCAGTCCACTTTGAGAAGACAACGCTCATTCCTTCCCAGGCCTTGCCGTTCTACCCCATTTCCCAAGAGTGGATGGGAACCTTATTATTTCCACTTGGGTCCTCACGAGAAGCGGAGGAGGGATCCTTGGGGATCTTTTCTTTTTCATTTCCTGTCTGGCCTTGCACTGGGGAATGTTTCAGACAAACTGGCACTAGTTTTAAAGAGAGTTACATGAATAAATAAAAATTTTCATACCCATTTATTCTAGCAAATTCAGAAAAGTAGCCAAATTAAACATTCCCTTCTTACCTTCCGTATTCTAAGAACACCAACTAGATGTAGCCCCAACTCCATGATGATTCTAATTTTGGGGGGGGGTACAGAATGCTGACCATTTTTCAGGAATTGGGGTTCCCCAGGCTGGCTCTGTAAAGATCTGGGTTCAGGGCTGGGGTTGTAGCTCAGTGGTAGGGCACTTGCCTAGCACGTGTGAGGCCCTGGGTTCGATCCTCAGCACCATATAAAGATAAATAAATAAAATAAAGGTATTGTGTCCAACTACAGCTACAAAAAAAGATTTTTAAAAAAGATCTGGGTTTAAATTCTGATTCTGCCAATCCTTTGGCACATTATTTAAGCTCTTTCATTCAATCCTCCCTCATTTATAAAATATCGATGATAAAGACACTGTAACGTCATTGTGTTTTGGTGAGGATTTAAGGAGATCATACATGTAAAGCACTTTCACACAACTGCCTTTTCTTGTTAATAGTAATATGAATAGTGGCAACATTACGCCTCTTCATCATCGGAGTGACACAACACAGGCTCAGGGCAGGGGTGAGTGTACTCTCCGCCAGCCCCACACCCTCACATTCTTTCATGTAGGCTGTATTAGTCAGGATGGGCTGAATTCAGCTACTATAACAAACAACCCTCAAATCTCAGTACCTTAACATGGCAATATTTATTCCTGGATCATGCAGTGTTCCCTGTGGACTCAAGGGACTGTCTAGGCAGCTGTCCACTCTGCCAGCTCTACAGAGCTCAGCTCCACTTCAGCCTGTTTTATAAGCAAGACTTCAGCCTGATTCTTGTCCTGCTGATACAAATAAATGACATGGAATGAAATTTTTGAAAGCCAGAGCTCTAGACCATCACATGCGAAAGAGTCCAGCATTGACTTTCTTTTTCTGTACCAGGGATTGAACCCAGGGGCACTTAACCACTGAGTCACATGCCCAGCCCTTTTTATTTTTTATTGTGATACAGGGTCTCACTAAGTTGCTTTGGGCCTCAGCTAAGATGCTGAGGCTGGCTTTGAACTTTCGATCCTCCTGCCTTGGCCTCCTGAGCCACTGGGATTACAGGCATGTGCCATTGCACCTGGCTCAGCCTTGACTTTCTAAAGACAGCTCTTTCCTTGGTGTGGCTTTGGTCCTATATAGACTGTATTTTCTTTCTTCTGTTTCCATGGAGCTTATAATCTTCTGTTTCCCATGCCCGCAGGGGAGTAGCCCTGCAGAGCTCCGCTCCTCAAAGCCCAGGCCCCTGGGGCTTAGCAGGCACTTTAGACCGAGAGCCAGGAGGCTGTGGCTGCCCTCTTGGCTTCGAGGTTCCCCCCTGGACCTTGGAAGGAAAATGGTTTCTCTGGAACCTTAACAGGCGGCCATCAAGGCCAGGGAACTCAAATCTCCACTTTGCCAATAAGAAGTGGCCCTTCGCTGTCCCCGTCTTTAGACCAGACGTCCCAGCCTAGGCTCCCTGCTGCAGCTTACGGTGTCTCCATACAGGTGGGAGCTTCATACCTCAAGTCAAAGGCATCGCCTGTCTTTGGGGCCACAGATTTAAATCTGAAAAATTGAAGGGACAAAGGTGACTGCTTAGTGCCACCCACACCTGCAATCCTGACCACGGAGGCTGCTGAGCGCACAAAAATAGCTGAAGGGACAAGGGCAGATCTGTCACCTGTGGGTGAATCTCAATACCTCCCCTAGGGCATCGCAGGGTGGGTCTGGTATTTACTCTTTGGGATTTTACTCTTGAGAAATCACTCTGGCGACAGAACTGTTTTGCCTCCATGAAGACGATGTCAAAGTCCCAGAATCCAGGACGCTGTAAGGCAGGATTCCAACCTCATTATTGCCAGGAATAAAGCTCATCCAAGGTGAAGTGTCCTCTCTCAGAACTCGAGCCCAGCTCAGAATGCCTTTTCTTTCCCCTTTGTTTTTGAAGCTAAGCAATTACTTTTTTCCAACGAAAAAAAAAATTGCGCTAATGCACAAAACTCTCTTTTTTCCCTTTCATTTATTTGAAATTGAACTTAACAAAGTCAGTTGCGAGCAGGCACTATATATGAGTAATGCTTTTTGTCCATAAAAGAGCATTGACTCAGAGGGGACGGGAGTGCTGATTCTCTCTCGGCTTTGTGTGAGCGTCCATAATGACAAAGTACTCATGTCAGAGTGTATAATGAAACTATAAATTGTTTTCATGAATGCTCTGAATTTGGTCTTTTACGGGGCAAATTCAAAAGGTATTTCGTACCACATTTCACATGTGTGAATAACACCAGATGGTGCAATATATCCAATAAAAGTAGAGTCCTGGGTGGGCTCACGCCGGCCGCCACAGAGGGTGATGGTTAGGTGTGGGTGGTTCATGGTGCAGAGGATTGGGATGAAGAAATCCCTAACCAGGAGGCAGGAGTTCTGGCCAAGTGCACAAGTGTTGGCGGAGAATTCAGGGTGGCCAAAATACTTAGCTCCTAAAACTAGTTTCTACTTTTGAATCATAGAAAAACTTGCACATATCATGGTTAAGTTCATGAACAAATTTACACTTGAGGAAACGTCTGCTGGGCTTTATGAGAAGGAGCAATCTAGGCATGATTTATGGTCCAACTAAATTATTTTTAATAATATGCTCAATTTTTTTTAAAGAGTGAGAGAGAATGAGAAAGAGGGAGAGAGAGAGAGAGAGAACTTTAATATTTATTTTTCAGTATTTGGCGGACACAACATCTTTGTCTGTATGTGGTGCTGAGGATCGAACCCGGGCCGCACGCATGCCAGGCGAGCGCGCTACCACTTGAGCCACATCCCCAGCCCTAATATGCTCAATTTTAATTGTAGAAACCATTTGGGTTTATTTTTGAAATACAAGAGATGGCAGAATACATCACAATTCTTATTACACAGATAGAACGATTTTTCATACCTCTGTTTGCATATAAAGAATGTTCACACCAATTCATGTCTTCATACATGTACTTTGGATAGTGATGTCCATCACATTCCACCATCCATGCTAATTTGGGTTTATTCTTGACATTTTAGAAAACACAGAGAAGCAGAAAGGGAAATTTAAAAACTTGGGCAAATAATTTACCACCGAGTGATCATTTTTAGCAACATTTTTACACTACTTTAATTAAGTGTCTTTATATCACAGTCTTATCTGGATGTCTGCATCTTTCTGAAACAGAATTGGGGACCAGCTAGACTTACCTCTGTGTGTAACTTAAAAGAATATTCTGCTTTAAACTCATTTGACAATTAAATTATTTTAATCTGTCCCAGTTTGTTGAAGTTCATGAACATTCAAGGTTTTGGTTCTGCCTCTCGGGGATCGCACATCGGGCCCTGTAGCTGCCCGTAGGCACAGTGTCACCTAAGGACAAATGTGCCCAGCTCGGTGCTCCCTGAAAATGCAGTTGGCATCTTAGGCCCAGTGCCTGTTCGACCCAGGCCCTGAGCCGCGGCTGACTGCTCTTGGCGCCTTGCTTTGCAGTACCTGGTGTGCAAGAGAAAGCTGGAGAGCAAGAAGGAGGCGCTGCTGATCCTGTCCAAGGAGCTGGACACCTGCCAGCAGGAGAGGGACCAGTTCAAGCTCATGGCCAATCAGCTTCGAGAACGCCACCAGTCCCTCAAAAAGAAGTACCGGGAGCTGATCGTAAGTATGATGCCAACTGTGCCTGTCCCGTGCCCTCCACCGAGACAGGAAGGGGGTTGCATGGCTTCTGTCTTAAAAAATGATTGCGTTCAGCTGAATGTGGTGGTGCATCCAGTAATCCCAGCGGTTCAGGAGGCTGAGGAAGGAGGCTCACAAGTTCAAAGGCAGCCTCAGTGAAAGCGAGGCGCTAAGCACCTCAGCAAGACCCTGTCTCTAAATCAAATACAAAATAGGGCTGGGGTGTGGCCCAGGGGTCGAGTGCCCCTGAGTTTAATCCTGGTACCCAAAACAAACAGACAAACAAACAAACAAACAAAACATGATTGCATTCCAACAGTTCCAAAGTGGAAACGTTGGTTGAAAGTTGCCACCTGTTTCTGCCCCAATGCAGTCACCTTTGGTGACAGGCATGTGCTTCTAGGCTGCCTGCTCTGGAGTCTCTGAACACACCCATGTGTACATACGTGCTTGTGTGTGTGACTACTTCCTTATTAATTCATTGATATGGACTTTTTAAGAGAGGATCTGCCTTGTAAGTCTGCTTTGATAAAGAGGCCATTGGCTACGTGTGACTCTTTAAATTTAGTGCTGAATTAATTTGAATTAAACAAAGTAAGAAACTCACTTCCTCAGTCTTACCTGTCATGTTCCATGGGCTCAGACTCTGCAGGTGGCTGGTGGCTGCTGTGAGGCAGGGTGTGGACAGGGGACACTCCCATGGTGTTCACCACACTGGGCCATCGGCAGAGGACATTTCTTCCCTGCTATCCTGCCAGGCAGCATCTGGCCAGTGTTAGGCTAACACATGTCCTTGTTGCTTGGCACTTTATTTTGGTCAACTTTCTAGGTCATAGGTACAGATTTAACTCATTCGTTTAAACACATGCATAGTAAGGGTCTATCCAAATTCCTATAAGTTTTCCCTTATCTGGGGGCTTAAGATTTCTCCCTAGGTTATCATATGGCAAGATTTTCGAGGGTGCCTTTTAGCCCGAAGCAGAGAATACCAACTGCATGGTGATGTTTCGCATTCTTGATTTTTATTTTTTTCCTCACTGATGCAGTCTCTTTTGGAAGTGCAGACACTACTATGAACTTTTTACCATGGTTGGGGTCACTGAACTGCTCTAGAGTAGGGAAAAATAGAGAAGTTCCTCAGGTTTAAATAATGTTGACTTGTCCATGGAGCACATCCTTCGAGTATGTGTTTAGTGAGCACTTACTTATTTCCCTGAATATTTATATTCCCCGAGGACCCTAAAGGGACAGGAATTCAGTCCTTAAAAGTCATAATGTCTATCAGGACTGAAAGTTCTGATAGTGCTTTTTTATGTGGAGCAAATCCTATCCCCCCCCCCATTATTCTGCTCATAGAGAACACTCAGGTGGTGGCTTTATCGGGCGGTGGGGGGGGTGGGCTGTCACTGTCCCTTTGGTACTAACTACTCCAAAGAGGAATGCAAATGAAACTAAATATTATTTCAGTTTAGTCTCTGCTCAGAAATGATTTTGATAGAGCCTGGTTTTTAACTTTTTGTTCAGACAAGTATATAGGTTTGGTCCTAATTGGAACAAACTGATTTTCCAAAGTAATTCTGGCTCAGTTTACAGTTAATTTTTTTTTAAAGCGTATTTGGGCTGGGGTTGTGGCTCTGTGGTCTAGAGTGCTCACCTAGCATGCATGAGGTACAGGGTTTGATCCTCCCACCACATAAATGTAAAATAAAGATATTGTGTCCACCTAAAACTAAAAAAATATTAAAAAAAAAAAGCTTACTTGAGTTTGCTTCAACACATAATTGATTGCAGGGTGGTAGAGGTGGGGAAGGTCTGAATTTAGGTTCAGAGTTTGGTCAGTTGCTGGAAGCACAGAAGATCTATGTCCTATTTGCTTCTTTGTAGGATGGAGATCCGTCACTTCCCCCTGAAAAGAGGAAACAGGTAAGACTTCTTCCTCATCCTGGTAACTCTTGGCTTATTAACATTATTGTCGTCTTATGCAATTGAGAGGATCATCAAAGCCTCCCTAAATGGGTTATCCTTAAATATGATATTTGGCCAAATATGTCCAAAGACAGCCGGTTAAACTTTCCTTCACTCCGGCATTGTTCTGTGCTGGACGTGCCCCCCTTATAGGTTAGTGTGCCCCGGGTGCCCAGATGGTGGGATGTCCATGGTGGTATGTCCCATGTCATGGAAAGCCTCTGCACTTGAGAAGGTCTTCAAACTGGAGCTATCAACAAGGACACAGGAACTGTCTGTCCATTCTTGGCTGGAATGGGCGCCAAAATCCTGTGTTGATTGAAGAGTGTCAATGACCGTAGTATATATGATACCTGTTCATTGAAGATTTACCAGGTGCCGCACGTAAAATCCATGCTGGTGGACATTATGCCCAATACACCCCCCCACACACACACACTTGCACACACACTTTCACACAAGTGCACCCACACCCACACCATGACTTTTATTCTGAAACAGCAACCCAGTCCTGTGGTCACCCTCCGTCATTCAATGCTGCGTCCTTCCTTCCTCCTTCCTGGTTGATGGGATTAGTTTGTGATGTTCCACATTTGAGCCAAAGCCTAATTTTCCTGTGGAGCTAATTGATGTTTTTTTCCCCTAAGTAAAGTCCCATGGAAATTCATCATTACTGTTTAAACCTGAAGTCTGTACTCCCGAGTCGCTGGTGTAGTTGGTGGCTGTGAGGAGTCCTCTTCGCTGTGACTTTTGTTGGCTGGTGTTCACGAGGGATTCTGACAGTCTTAGGTGAATTCACGCTCTGTGACTTTATAGTAAAGCATTTACACTGAGGAGGAGCTGATGGATTCCAGCAAGTCTGTCAAGCTGCCTTCCTGCAGTTCCAAAAATACAAGCGCAAGGTCCCAAACGTTGCCATTGTCATTTTTAGTGCAGCATCTGGTTTCTGTCCCTTCAGGGTTTGGCATGGTGGCAGGAGCTGGGGCTCCCTCTTCCTGGTTGGAGCCTTCGAGTGGCCAGGTGACTAGGGTGTTTGGAGATGCAAGTGACAGAAATGCTAAACTGCATAACCCAAAAGAAACCCATGGCCTTGCATAAACAGAAGCTCCCACATGGTGCGGGCTCCGGGGGCCGCAGGATCTGGAGTCTCATGAACTTGCCAAGTCCCTGTTTTCTCTGTGGTGCCACATTTAGCCATAAAAATACAGGGCTTCCAGGGACAGTTGAATTTCAGAGAGCCAGGGAAAAACTTTTCAGTATGAATTGTGTCCCATGCAATGTTGGGGACACACTTACACTAGAATGTATTTTACATCCATCTGGAATTCAAATTCAGCTGGGCATTCTGTATTTATGACACAGCTCCATCATTGGCAAGGGTCAGGTCAGCATCCTCTTGTTCTTAGAATCTGCTGCCTTCTTGGCTGGTTCCCCTGAGCAGAGCAGAAACCCCCGCCCTGGCCTCCAGCCTGCTTGGGCCAGGGTAGGACATGCGCCCAGTGACCGTCAATGACCTTCAGCAGGGAGCACTCACCTGGCTCAGACTGGTCACCTGGGGTGGAAGGGCTGTCAGAGGTCAGCAGGGACTTCCTCCAAGCTGTTGGCCTAGGGAGGCTCCTCTGGGTGTCCATGACTCCGCTTTCTCATTCATAAAATGGGGACAAATATGGTGCCCACCCCCTGGAAGGCTGTAAGGGACAGATGGGATGACACAGACCTAGCTCTCGGCACAGTGCCTGACCCCAGGTGAGCAGCGGCACGTGCTAATGACCCTCTTCCTCTCATCAGCCCTTTTTGTTTTTTTAAATTCTAATTTGTTAGATATGATAGCAGAATGCAGTAGCGTTCATATTACTCATATAGAGCACAGTTTTTCATATCTCTGTTGTACACAAAGTAGATTCACACCAATTCATGTCTTCTTACATGGACTTAGGGTCGTGATGTCCAGCTCATTCCAACATCTTTCCTACCCCCAAGCTCCCTCCCTTTCCCTCCCACCCTTCTGCCCCATCTAGAGTTCATCTTTCCTCCAATGCTCCCCCTCCCAATCCCACTATGAATCAGAGAAAACATTTGGCACTTGGTTTTTTGGGATTGGCTAACTTCACTTAGCATTATCTTCTCCAACTCCATCCATTTACCTGCAAATGCCATGATTTTATTCTCTTTTATTGCTGAGTAATATTCCATTGTGTATATATACCACATTTTTTTATCCATTCATCTATTGAAGGGTATCTAGGTTGGTTCCACAATTTAGCTATTGTGAATTGTGCTGCTATAAACATTGATGTGGCTGTGTCCCTGTAGTATGCTGTTTTTAAGTCCTTTGGGTATAGACTGAGGAGCAGGATAGCTAGGTCAAAAGGTGGTTCCAATCCCAGGTTTCCAAGGAATCTCCATACTGACTTCCATATTGGCTGCACCAATTTGCAGTCCCACCAGCAGTGTATGAGTGTGCCTTTTTCCCCACATTCTCGCCAACACTTATTGTTTGTATTCTTGATAGCTGCCATTCTGACTGGAGTGGGATGAAATCTATGGTGGTTTTGATTTGCATTGCTTAAATTGCTAGAGATGTTGAACATTTTTTCACACATAGAAGAAAGAGTAGGCCCAAATCTCCATCATGTCAGATTAGGCCCCAACTTCCTTAATAAGACTCCTGTAGCACAAGATTTAAAATCAAGAATCAATAAATGGGATGGATTCAAACTAAAAAGCTTCTTCTCAGCAAAAGAAACAATCAGTGAGGTGAATAGAGAGCCTACTAATTGGGAACAAATTTTTTACCACTTGCACATCAGATAGAGCACTAATCTCTAGGGTATAGAAAGAACTCAAAGACTTCAACACCGGTAAAACAAATAACCAATCAATAAATGGGCCAAGGAACGGAACAGACACTTCCCAGAGGTGATGTGCAGTCCGTCAGCCCTCTGTAAGCAATTGCTTATCACATGTTGGTCTGCCCATCGTGGCTCTTGGTCAGACATACTGGCCTTGCAGGGACCCTCTTGGTTGCACTTGTAGCTCAAAGTAACTTGGGCCAAAGAGCAGGTTCTTCAGAAGGGCCGGTTGGGCAGCCTTCATGGGAGGCAGACATGTACTGGCCTCAGGAGCAGGGACGGCAGGGCTCAGGGCTCCAGGTCCCCCCTCTGCTCTCATCTCCGTTTCCATCCATCATCCTTTATGTATTTATTTTGTTTTTTGGTATAGGGAATTGAGCCCAGGGGTACTTAACCACAGAGCCACATCTCCAGCCCTTTTTACTTTTTATTTTGAGACAGGGTCTTGCTAAATTGCTGAGGCTAGCCTCTAATCTTTGATCCTCCTGCCTCAGCCTCCCGAATCATTGGGATTACAGGCACACACCAGCATGCCCGGCTCATCATTTCTTTGAATGGCCCCACTTTCTCCTCAGAATGGGAAACGTGGCGGCCAACCACCCTGGAGCTGTAGACCCCACACCTTTTTTCCACTAAAATCAGCCTGCCCCTGGGTCTCAGGGGAGATCCCACAGGCCATGCTCAGGCCAGAGTCTGATTTCAGGGCCAGCAAAGCACAGGTGTCCTGATCATCTGCTCTCTGACCGCAGCCCGTGTTACCCTTTACTCTTGCTGTTTTGTGGATGCCAAGGCTGGTCTCATTTCGTTCCACCCAGCCGTGTGGGGTAGGTCCTGTTATTAGTGTGGACCCAGGGGAATGGGGTGCCCGTGGAGGTCGAGGAGGTCACACACCAGAAGTGACATGGTCATTAGCAGTGGAGCCCAGTGGGGCCCTGCGGTGTGCTCAGAGCTCCTGCTGGTGACGGCGGGACTCAGCCCTCAGGGGGCACTTTGTGGACGTCCAGTGCTGGTCTAGACAGGAGGGACATGAGAGTGGAAGAAGTCCAGCCCAGAGCCCTGGGTCCGTTGCCGGTCCTTGGTCATCCACTGTCACTCACGCCTCCTGCCCTGGCAGCAAATTTTATTAGGCTCCCCATTATTCCCCGAGGTGTGCTGATTCAGGAGATCGATAGCACAGTCCTCCTGACTCCAGGGGGGAACGCTGTGATCGGACAGGAAACAAAGTCATTAAAATATATTAGATGTTAGACGGCAATCAGTGCAAAGGAGGAAGAACTGTAGCCAAAGGTAGAGGGGGAATTCTGGCTAAGGAACAGGGGCAGTACTTAATATGTAGTAGGGACATCGTCCTAGGATTAGGAATAAAAATCACCCTCCTTTAAGATACTCCTTTTCTTTTTGTTTTATTTGTAAAAATTATTTTTAGTTACAGATGGGCACAATGCCTTTATTTAGTATTTTTTTTGTGGGATCTAACCCAGGGCCTCCCGCATACTAGGCAAGCGCTCTACCTCTGAGCCACAACCCCAGCCCAAGGCATTTCTTAAATTTCATTTTCTGTTAACTTATTTCGGCACGGCTGGTCTTGGTGAGTGGTGTCCTCTTTATTAGCTTAGTTTGGGGAAGAAAACATAGGATTAGACTTTTAGGTGCTGGGTGCAGCAAACTTTCTGTTGAGCAGAAGCGGGCAGCTGTGGGGTGCGTGTGCAGGCGGGAAGGAGAGGCAGTTATTTCCTAAGCTGTGTCATCAGCTGGAAGTAGGTGGACGCACACAGCTGGCCTGGCTGCTGTCCTTACGTACTTAGAATACATACGTATCCCAAAGGCAGAGCAGCCGTGACATGTTCACCAGCCCAACCCCCCTCCCCAGCTGCAAAGCAGATGCCCCTTGGATAAGTGGGAGGCTCTAGAAAAGAACCAGCTGCCAGGCTAACAGATGTGACCTGGAGGCCACAGGATGCCCATGTTGGCAAGGAGGAGATGCCACCGAGCACCCTCAGCTGCCTTGAAACTGGTGGTGTTGCCTGACTTGGGAGGAGGCTGTGACCCCTCCCCACGGGTTCCTCCAGGTTCTTTTCTTGACTTGGAGGGTGAAATGGCTGAGAT